CTTCCTTGCTGGAATTTCTTTTCTACGCGGTGCGACGGCGAAATGCTACCCGAGTCAACGCTAGTACGCTAGCACTCCAACGCTAGGCTAACGCTGTCCGAGCCATAACTTCGTAATGGCAGAACTTTTCGCGAGGCAACTTGGCTTATTTTAAAGCTCTTAGAGTGAGCTTCGATATAGGAAATTCTCAGCTTAATCCGATCGACGGTCTGCACGATACGCTGCGCGACGCTCAAGGTATTCTTGCTGTTTTGACTAAGTCCCTCTTGATCCCTCTCTCTACAAACTCGGACCCGAGGATAGGGGCTGGTCTTGTACCAGGCACCCAAGGACCCTTGGAGGTGACCCCGAGGAGAGGTTTTAAGTGTGATAAAGTCTTAATAGCTTGAGTTTATTAGGCCCTTACACCAACACATGGCAGTCGCCCACGTTCCCAAGACCTACCGCAGTAAGTTGGGGGCGAGTGCAATCTGGTGTGTGCATTTGGGGCTGGCTGCTGAGAGCAAGGGATGGCTGCTGTGGGAGCCTTCCAAGGGTGTGTTGTTTGACAGCAGGGATGTGAAGTTTGTTGAGGGCATGATGTATGGGAGCTGGGAGAAACAGCCGGAGGCCAGGGTGTCCCAGCAGATGGAGCAGATTACCATGCAGCTGGACCTGACTCCTAGTGTGTGGGAGGAGGGAGAGGAGGCAGCTGCAGAGGGTGGTGATAAAGAGAAGGTGCAGGAGGCACCTGCTGGTGGAGGTGATGGTGTGGAGATTAGCGGTAGCACTAGTGGAGCTGCTGGATCCGAGGGAGGAGAGCAGCAGCAGGGGAAAACTAAGAAGCCGAAGGGTGTTATTATGAAGGGATGGGAGACACCCGTCTCCAGGCCAGGGCGTACCCGTATGGCTACTAAGAAGCTGACTGCAGGAGCTGATGTAGCGGAGCAGCAGCTTGGGACCGAGGAGGCATTGCTGAATCTACCGCATGGCTATGACCCGGATGAGGAGGATCAACCTGCGTACTGTTTTCTTGCCCCTGCACCAGAGGAACCAGCTAGCATGGAGGAGGCATTAGCTGGACCAGATAGGGACAAATGGCTAGCTTCCAGGGATGCTGAGTACCAGAGCCTGCTGGAGAATGGGACTTGGGAACTAGTGGTGCTGCCTGAGGGAAAGAAAGCGGTACAATGCAAGTGGGTGCTAAGGATCAAGACTGACGACAAGGGGCAGGTCACCATCTACAAGAGTAGGTTGGTGGCTAAGGGGTTTATGCAGAAGGAGAAGCGGGACTTCAATGAGATCTTTGCTCCCACTGCCAAACCCCCTACCCTTCGTGTCTTGTTGGCAGATGCAGCCGTTAGTGGGAAGTTCATTATCCAGATGGACATATCAACGGCATTTCTCAACGGGATTTTAGAGGAGGAGGTGTTCATGACGCAGCCACCTGGGTATGAGGATGGTACGGGCAGGGTGTGCAAGCTGAAAAAGTCCATCTACGGCTTGAAGCAGGCGCCACGCTGCTGGTACCAGAAGTTGGCAGCTGTTTTAGAGGAGATGGGATTCAGGACCAGCAGCTGTGATGAGAGCCTCTTTCTCAAGGGGGAGGGGGAGAAGCTGGTGCTGTTTCTGGTCTATGTGGACGACATTCTTCTCTTTAGCAGCAGCATGAAGGAGATCCAGAAGGTGCAGCAGCAGCTGATGGAGAACTTCAAGTGCAAGAACCTTGGGGAGGTAAAGTACTACCTCGGGATGCACGTAGAGAGGGATCCAGATCACAGGTGGTTGAAACTGCACCAGGAGAAGTTCATCAAGGAGCTTGGGGAGAAGTACGGAATTGAGAATGAGCGCAAGGTTGCAACTCCCCTGCCAGCAGAATTCAAGCTTGTGAAAGCTGCAGAGGATGAAGGGGTTGAAGCCGAGGAGCAGCAGCAATTTCAGTCCTTGGTGGGCAGCCTCTTGTATGCAGCAGTTCACACGAGACCCGACATCTCTTTCTCGGTTGGGCAGCTGGCTAGGGTAGTGCAGAATCCATCAGAGGAGCAGGTGGATGCAGCTGAGCGTGTGGTGAAGTACCTGAACTCTCACCCAAGCATTGGAGTTCAATACTCCGCATCTGCGCAGGTGAAGCAGAAAGGGGTTGAGGTGCTGAAAGAGAAGGGGGAGAGGCTTGGAGAAGGCAAGCTCTTTCTCACTTGCTTTACCGATGCTACGTGGGCCTCTGAAAAAGAAGATTCCTCATCTGTGGGAGGATACATCTGCGTAGTAGGGGGAGGACCTGTTAGTTGGAGGTCCAAGAAGCAGACGGAGACAGCACTCTCTTCCGTGGAATCAGAGTACATGGCGATGTTCCATGGGGTGAAGGAGGTGATTTGGCTGAGGAGGCTATTAGAGGAGATTGGCCAGGAGCAAAAGATTGCTACGCCGCTGTTTTGTGATAGCAAGGGAGCTCTTGGGATGGCCAGGAACGCTGTGCTTCATGGGCTGAATAAGCACATGCGTATCAAGTGGCACTGGCTGCGTAAGGAGGTGAAGAGGGGGACGGTGAATCCGATCTACATCAAGACTCACCAGCAGCCAGCAGACTTCCTCACCAAGAGGCTTGCGGATGAGCCTCATTGGCGTTGTGTGCGCATGAGTGGAATGAGCATGAACTAGTATGGAATGATGGGGATGCAGCCGGCAGGCTGAGGGGGAGTGTGTTGGGTGCAAATTCACATTGCACGACATCCTGCCGTCTGTTTGTACGAGTATGCGTGTGCGAATGCATTTGCGTGTGAATGGTATGTTTGTGTGTTTGTTTGCTTTCGCAATTTTCGCTTGAAGCATTTGCAGGTACTCGCAAAATGTGCGCTTCGGCATAACATTGTACGCGCTATGAACAGTACAAGCAGAAAGGACGAGCTCGCAAAGGAACCCAAGATGGAAGCTTTGCGGTTCAACTTACTTGATTGCGCAGATTCAGTTCTATCCAACTCGAAATTGTACTGTTTTGTTTGGTTGACTATAGTGTAGCAGGGCAGGCACTATAGGGGTACAATTTAGGTGAAGGTTGGATGTTGTTTGTCTGTATCTGCATGCTACAGGGCCAGGGGAAACCAGCGGAACCAGCATTTGGCTGGTTGGGCAAAGACAAAACAGGTTCTGTTTTTAGGACCTGAACCTGGTTGTTGTTTTCCCAGGTTGGAAAAACAGAACCAGAGGTTGTTCACCAACCTATCACCTGCTATTTTGTCCAGCCATGTTGGTTCTGTTGCTTGGAATTATTTGGGATCATCCCTGGTTGTTCCCAGGTTGATTCCCAAGGTCCTTGCCAGCTAGAGCTATTTATTCCTTCTCTGTTTGTACCTGAATATAGTGAAATTGATTCAAGCGAATTCCTTCCTTGCTGGAATTTCTTTTCTACGCGGTGCGACGGCGAAATGCTACCCGAGTCAACGCTAGTACGCTAGCACTCCAACGCTAGGCTAACGCTGTCCGAGCCATAACTTCGTAATGGCAGAACTTTTCGCGAGGCAACTTGGCTTATTTTAAAGCTCTTAGAGTGAGCTTCGATATAGGAAATTCTCAGCTTAATCTGATCGACGGTCTGCACGATACGCTGCGCGACGTTCAAGGTACTCTTGCTGTTTTGACTAAGTCCCTCTTGATCCCTCTCTCTACAAACTCGGACCCGAGGATAGGGGCTGGTCTTGTACCAGGCACCCAAGGACCCTTGGAGGTGACCCCGAGGAGAGGTTTTAAGTGTGATAAAGTCTTAATAGCTTGAGTTTATTAGGCCCTTACACCAACAAAAACTGCCAACCAGGCGCGTCAGGGGGGAAGCCAAGGAAGACGCAGGGAACAGCACGGGGGGACAGCTTGTCTGCAGACAAGTCGCGGACAAACGCCCGAGATCCCCAGACCCGAAACGCAGACGCATCGCCAACCTTCCCGGTCCACCGCAAGGTGGGGGAGATCTCTGGCAAGGAGACCCGGGGCTGAAGGTTGAGCTGATGCGCTACGTACTGGACCGCAAACGGCCACAGAAAATGGGGGGCAGCCGCATGGATCATGGACGTACGAGCAACGTCCATGACCATGCCAATGCGGCGCTCAAAATTCCCATTTTGCTGTGGAGAGGCCGGAAGCGTGAAGGTCAGGCGGATCCCCTGTGCACGACAGAAGGCTCCCAGACGGGCAGAGGAAAACTCCCCGCCTCTGTCATAGTGCAGACGCAGAATAGGAAAGTCCAAGCCAGAACTCTCTCTGAGCTGGAGACGAGCTGCGCGGATCCAGTCGATCAACACCTCAGTGACGTCCCCCTTGCTGCGCAAGGGGAACACCGTGGTGTAACGCGAGTAGTCGTCAACCACCAACAGGAAGTAACGCTCGTGACCCTGGCCACGGACGCGGGCGGGGCCCCACTCGTCCATGTAAAGAGTCTGCAGCGGAGCCTCTGTCGGAGGAAACTCGGAGGAGTGAGGGGCGGCGTGCTGCCGCCCCTCGACTCAGGGAACGCAGGTAGGGGCAGGCCTCGGAGGTAAGGGAGGGAGGGACCGGGGGAGACCAGAGACAAGGACACGGGAGGCCATGCCTCGGAGACGAGGCAGGGAGGGGTGACCAAGGCGGAGGTGCCAAAGGAGAGTCTGGTGGGACAGGAGACGACACGAGCAGGGAGCAGACTCAGGACCAGACCTGGACGCTGCAGCAAACACCTGACTCGACGCAGCTACCTGACCAGACTCAGCAACCGGAGGAGACTCAGTAGTCAGTGTGTACAGGCTCGACCCCGGCCGACGGGTTAACGTGGCCAAGTGTCGGCCCATCCGAGCACACGTGCAGTGGGTCACCCGCAGACTCACAGGAGTGAACTGGTCAACCCCCCTATCTTGTAGATCAGCTCCACTCACCAAGTTCATAGAGAACGAGGGGAGGTAGAGACCTGACAGGGTGCCAGAGGGGGCTGCTGGACATGGTAAGATAGTGGAGAAGCTAGCAAGGACAGGACCCCCAGAGGGGTCTTAGCACTCTTGTACTGACTAAAGTGCACACTGTGAGCGAACAGTGCTGTCAGCGTCAGTAGGCAGGGCAGGAGAGGCACTAGAGGTGAGATCGAATAGGGAGAGTCCGTCGGCCCGATCACACTGTAGGAACAGCTGGAGGTCATCAACCCAGACCTCAAAGTCAACAGCACGACCCTCAGCATCAAAGGTAAGGACACTTGGGGTAGCCATGACAGCAGTGGTCTAGCAGGGAGTGATCTCACTAGTCCGAGTGAGTAGGGCCGGGGCGCGCCGGTTGGAACAGGGCTGTAGCCGCGGTGGCAACGGCTCGGCACTGACAGTAGCGGCTCGACGGCAGGGCGGCTTGGCGGCTCGGCGGCTTGGCTGCTGGGCGGCTCGGCAGCTCGGCTGCTCGGCGGCTCGGCGGCTCGGCTGTTGGGCGGCTTGGCGGCTCGGCTGCTGGGCGGCTCGGCGGCTCGGCGGATGGGCAGCTCGGCGGCTCGGCTGCTCGGCTTCTGGGTGGCTCGGCTGCTGGGCGGCTCAGCGGCGACGGGGCCGGTAGAGGCGGCGACGGGGCCGCGAAGGGCGGCGACGGGGCCGCTAGAGGCGGCTATGGGGCCGCGAAGAGCGGCGACGGGGCCGCTAGGGGCGGTGACGGGGCCGTGAAGGGCGGCGACGTGGCCGCGAGGAGCGGCGACGGGGCCGTGAAGGGGCCGCAAGGGGCCTAGAGGGGTGGCGACGGGGCCGCCAAGGGGCCGCGAGGGGCCTAGAGGGGTGGTGACGGGGCCTAGAGGGGCGATGACGGGGTCGTGAAGGGGCCGCAAGGGGCTTAGAGGGGCGGCGACGGGGCCGCCAAGGGGCCGCGAGGGGCCTAGAGGGGTGGCGACGGGGCCTAGAGGGGCGGCGACGGGGCCGCGAAGGGGGGGCCGCGAAGGGCCTAGAGGGGCGGCGACGGGGCCTAGAGGGGCGGCGACGGGGCCGCGAAGGGGCCGTGAGGGGCCTAGAGGGGCGGCGACGGGGCCGCAAAGGACGGCGACGGGGCCGTAAGGGGTGGCGACGGGGCCGGTAAGGGTGGCGCGAGGGGCCTCTAGGAGGGCACAATGTGAGGGCGGCCTACGGGGCGCGTCTCGGGCAGGAAAAAAAAAGATCTAGTTCAGTAGTGGGCCCTGAGAAGCGTTCCCACGAGGGAACCTGCTCTATACCATGTGAAGAATGAGGAATGAATAAACTAACAAGCAGGTGGGTACAAGTAGGAAAACCTAGAAGTGTTGTACCCCATATTGTCTACCCCACTACAGCCTTTATAGACTATAGCAGAAGAGTTTGACAGAGGGCACGTTGGTCCACAATTGAATTGTGGGACCCTCGAACTATTTGTCCTTATTATTTGAGAGGAAATTCGCAAGACGGTGTTTCGTGAAGCGCGTGATTTACATTCGAAGCTGGTGCGAATTGTGCGATACTGATTTCAGCGACTTCGTAATTTCGTCGCGTAACTGCGCTTTTTCTTCAGGAGATTCCGTGAGCTGTCACGAGTGGTCGCCATGAAACACCACGAGCGTCCACGAGGCTTCGCGAACAAGTATGGCCTGCATAAACGTTCGTGGGCGAATATGTCCCACTTGTTTCGCACGGAGAAAGTTTGCAATTCGAAGTATGGTTGTAGTTGTCATTTTTGTGGGTTAGTATAAACTTGTGCTTGCGTTTGTTCGTGAACAATCTTTTATGACTGAATATTACTCTTACAACGTATTGACATGAAAAGTTAAATCTACACATGAGCCAATCGATCGACGTGACGCTTCGCGAGTGAGTCTGGAAATACTCTAATGGTCACGATTGAACTTACACTTGGTGGATCTCTCTACAAACACGGACCCTTGGGTACATTGCAAAAAAGGAGGGAATAATTTCGGGCGTAAAGAACAAAAAGTCAGGAAAAAGTCAGGCAAAATCCGGTCACCAACAGCCCGGTCGTAAATGGGCCAGTCCGTAGTCATTTCGCCGTCAAGAACGAGCCCTCTTGTGTATGGGTCGAGGTGGCTTTTTCATGGTCATGAATGTTGACTGATATTTGGGACCTAGAAGCCCTTAGCACACCTTTAAATCACACTAGGTAGTCCCCACGGGGTCACCTCCAAGGGTCCTTGGGTGCATGGTAAAACCAGCCCCTATCCAAGGGTCCGTGTTTGTAGAGGGATTCCCTAAGCATGAACTTCCTCGTGTGCACTAGGGCACTCCCAAACTCATATGCGGTAGCGTTAACGATCAATTGGCTCGTATGCAGAAATTTCTCATCGCGTCAATACGTCGATAGAGAAAATACCCATTCCAAAAAGTTTTTTACACTGAAGCACAAGCACACATTTATAGAACTACTAATGCACGAGCAAAACAAACACAAGGCAAGCTTTTAACAGTTATAAAACTGTAATATAAGACTTCGCCATGTTGTCTTGGTAAAACGGTTGCCAAACTTCAGCTGCATTTGGCTTGATCCGCTTCATTAGAATACTTGATTTCAAATGGCACTTTATCCAAACGCCCCTGCTGACTCCCCTCACGAGCACTCATGAATTCCCGTTAACACTCATGAAGCCTCGTGTGGGAAAACCGTTTTCCCGTTGCAAAACGGAATTTACCGTTGCAAAACAACATTTACCGTTTCGTACCTTTGTCGAAATGATCACGCAAACTAGCGTGACTTTTTGGCAAAACCTCATGTTTGCCAAGTCAACACGGGATACAGTTTTTCAACTGTAAATCCCGAGCTCCCCACGTGCCAGCCAGCATGACCGAGATATTTCTCGGTCATGCAGGACAGGACGATCGCGTACGCGATCGTGCAGTAATGTGCCCTGTCCCGTTGCGATCGTGGGCTCTCCCACGCTCGCAACAGTGCCGAAGCACACAAGCGAGCCCTGAGGGGCCACACGCGTGTGTCAGAACCCCACGCGCGGGTCCTGACCTTCGCGCGCGGCTGACCTTGACCAGCGCGACTTAGTCAACGTGGCGAAACACTCGCCACTCTCTAAAACGCACAAAAAATGTGAACTTCCATGAATTCTAATGAAAACTCACGAAAACACATAAGAAACAGTGAGCGCACATGCAGACTCATGAACAATCGCGAACTCACGCGAACTTACCGAAGCTCATGAACTTTCATGCGCTCTCACGGAAACTCATGAACATTCATGAAATGCACTCACACAAAAAATGCATGTAACTTATGAACCGCTAAGGCGATTCACAAACCGTAAACGCACAATTGTAAAGCACACAAACGCGCTCCTCACACTCCACATATTACCTTGAAACAAAAACTCTCATTTTCCTTTATCGTCGGCGAATAGGCGGTAGGTTGACGTGCAAACGACATTTTGCACTCAACAAACCCCCCCTTAACCTGCCGACTATTCGAACCCACAACCACCGTCAGTGGATTCGATAATTTTCTTCACAGCTTCCACCATTGGCACAGGGACCATATCAGCCTTGTCAATCTTCTCCCCTTCGACCGTCTCTACCTTGTTGCCGATCCCAACTCCAGTTTTTGGGAAGACACTCCTATGCTCCCCCACAATCACAGCTTCCTTCAAACTCGGCTTCACCTTGGTTCTCCTTAAACCCATCAGCTACAAAGCTTGCATAATTGAGCATCATTGTCTTCTCCTTAGCAGCTTCAACCCTCGGCTGCACCACGACACAAAGCTTCTGCTGCTCATGAGTGTCACCCTTGTACACTCCCTTCTCCTTATCCGCAACAGCAACAATGCACTTACTCCCCTTGGATTCTACACCATTCTTATCATCAGCCGCGGCTGCATTTCCCTTCTCAGCTGCTGCAAGTCGAGCATTAACCTTGTGCAACTCATGCACAAGCACCTCCACGGTAGCTTTCAGTTCCTTGATCATTTCAGCAGCCAATCCACTGTACTCCCCTTTGCAGTCGCAGGTCACATTCTCATTTTCAGGTACCGTCTCACTCCATGGCACCACCGGCACATACCACAACTCGTCATGCAGGTCCTTGTCTTCATTCAAGACCCACAACACTCGATTACCGAGATTCCCCTTGAACGTTTCAGCTCCATTGGTTACCGTGCACACACCTGCAAGTCCCATTTTCCTTCGGGAGATCAGGTTCCCCTTCAACTCAGCACCAAGAGCACGTCCTCCAAAATTATCGGCTTCCCATCAGCTCCCTTGAAGGCTGCCTTGCCGACTCCAATCACCTTCATATTATAGCCGCATCCTGAATTCATTTCGGTGATGCTCGTCTTCCCAACCTTGTCTAGCAGGTCCGCCCTCGGGGTCATGTGATGAACCGCTCCGGAGTCAAGAATCCACGTGTTGAGAGGATAAGGCACTGCTCCCTCCTTGGTAGTTGTATTCCCACTCCCCCCATTCCCATGCACATGGAAGAACTGTCCTGGAGCTCTCTCCCAACCGTCTCCCCTTCCACTTGCCGTCTCTGCCATGTAACCAACTCCATCATTGTCTCCTTGCCCGGGAGTCCACCACTTCGGACGTTTCCAACACTTCACCCAAGTGTGCCTCGGCTTCTTGCAGTACCAACAAGTTCCCTTGAACTTGTGATAGCCACCATGATCATCCTCATCATCAGCTTCTTCTTTTTCGTCACACTTGTTGCTCGGCTTCTTATCATCACGCCAACGTCCCTGCCGTCCACTTTCACCACGTCCCCGGTCGTTTCCCTTACGCCAACCGCTGCCTTGTACACCGTAGCCGCCATCTCCATCGTGAGCATGACTTAGCTGCCTCCTCCTAAAGTCTTCCTCCAATATTTTGGTTCGCACTCACTCGAGAGTCCATGATTCCTGGTTTTGAGGTAGGCTTAGCCCACTCGTGAACGGCATCCAAGACTCGGGTAGCAGCGAGAACATGCGTAGGCACTTCGTCTTCTCCGGATAGGTGATGCCCGCAATTTGGAGCTTTGCGTATATCTCCCTCATCTTGTCAAGAACGGGCTGAATCGGCTCCCCTTCACTTAGACGCAATGAAGCCAATTTATGCTCCAACATCAGCGTAGCAACCACCGAGGTTGGGGCGTGCAGCTCCTTTAGCACTTTCCAAGCCCATGGCCCATTATCAGCTTCCCCAAGCAGGTGCATCACATGTGCTCTCTGGATGAGCTCCAACGTCTGCGATAGGAGGTAATATCCAGCTGACGCACGCTCGCCCCACTCCCCTTGCAGGACGGGGTCGCTCGGCCTCTCCTCCTCGCCGATCATTCTCTTCAGCAACCCAACTTGACAGAAGTACAGCTGCATTTTCCACGCCCAATCGTCGTACCCATTGCCGTTGAACTTGTCGACGATGAAGTTCTTGAGCACCTCTCTCAATAGTGAGCCCTGGCCGATCCGCACCCCCCTTAGCACTGAACCTCCAGTGTCTTGGCTTCCACTATTGGCACGTGTAAGAAAACCTTCCGTTTATGAAAGAACGAGGAATGAAATGAACTAGCAAGCAGGTGGGTACAAGTAGGAAAAGCGTAAAAGTGTTGTACCCCATATTGTCTACCCCACTATAGCCTACACAGACTATAGCATATGAGTTTGACACACCCCCATAGGCAAAGTGGGGGAGAACAAGAGGTCACAAGACCAGTCAAGTAAAGCAAAGCAAGCTCAGGGTGGATCACAACGTCACCACACATTCCGAGCACAAGTTCAAGGCCACAAGGCCAGTTCACATGCAAGATCATATATAAAGGTAAACAAGCAAGTGCAGGTATAGAAAGATCACAGTACAAGCAAGGACAAGAAGTGAGCAAGTGAGGCCAAGTAGGCACAAGACCTAGCATCGTACAGAAGCGCTGATGATCACAAGGCGGAAGTGCCATGGTAAAGATATCAACAGTGTTGGCCTCAGAGGCCACGTAAGCAAGGCGCAGCTGACCACGCTGCTGCAGCTCACGAGCAAGGAAGTAGCGAAGAGCAATGTGCTTCGTTTTGTGCTCCAGTCTGTGCTCCCAACACAAGGCCAGCATGGCCTTGTTGTCTACGTACAGAACTGGAGGAGAACGAGGCGGCTCTCCTAGGTCAGTCAGCAGGTAGGTGAGCCAGCGTAGCTCCTGTGCAGCCATGGCCCCCGCGTAGATCTCAGCCTCACAGCTGGAGCCGAGAACAGAAGACGAGCGGGTAGACCGCCAAGAAACAGAGCCGGAACCAAGACTAAAGGTGTAACCCTGTGACGACCGCTGCGTAGCCTGGTCGTCAGCCCAAGAAGCGTCTGCGTGACCTGTGAGGACCACTGAACGTCGCCCTCCAAGCACTAGCCCCATGCCCGAGGTACTGCACAAGTAGCGCAACACCCTCTTCGCTGCAGCCATGTGCTCTGGTCGGTGTCTTGTCAAACTCATATTATATAGCTTGTGTAGGCTATAGTGGGGTAAACACTATGGGGTACAGTTTCCTAGGGTTTCCTACTTGTACCCAACCTTGTGCTAGTTCATTCATTCCTCATTCTTCACATGGTATAGAGCAGGTTCCCTAGTGGGAACGCTTCCTTGGGCCCACCACTGAAAATTTCCTTTCTGACCGGAGCGCCAGTCGCTCCTGCCCGAGGCGCGCCTTTTGCCGCCCTTTCCAGGCCCCTAGTGGCCCCTAGCGACCTCGTCGCCGCCCCTCACGTGGCCCCGTTACCGCCCCTACGCGGCCCCGTCGCCGCCATTAGCGGCCCTGTCGCCGCCCCTAGCGGCCCTGTCGCCGCCTCTCACCCTAAGCGGCCCCGTCGCCGCCCCTACGCGGCCCCTTCGCCGCCCCTCCGCGGCCCGTCGCCACCCTTAGCGGCCCCGTCCCCGCCCCTAGCGGCCCCATCGCCGCCTCTCACCCTACGCGGCCCCGTCGCCGCCCATACGCGGCCTCGTCGCCGCCCCTAGCAGCCCCGTCGCCGCCCCTACCGGCCCCGACGCCGCCTCTTTCCCTCAGCGGCCCCGTCGCCGCCTTTAAGAGGCCCCGTCGCCGCCCCTAAG